AAGTTGGGGAAAAAAAGGTTGCATGTTATTTGAAACTTAATATCAATAAAATATCTTTATATTTTATATATATAGCAAGTAGAGTGAAATTATGATAATATTTTGTAATTTCACTGTTAAATATTGTAAGACCTGTCAGTAATTTTTATTACAAAAATATTTGTTTTATTCACATTACATAGCACCTAAAGCATCCTAACTTGGTGAATTTGATTGAAGTGTTTCGTCGCAAGAGAAAACTTCATATGGTTTTTGAATATTGTGATCATACAGTCTTGGACATTTTGGAAAAACATCCCAAAGGGTTAGTATTTATATCCTTGAAAAAAACTGGCTCTTTAAATTTGATATGCTACAAATGTTTTTGATTTATAACAACAACATTATCATTACTTGGCCTGATCTGATATAAAATGATCACAAAGAAATGTCAGTTTAAAAGTGATTGTCTAGCAAGATTTTTTTTGTTAAATTCACCAATCAGAATTTTTAAAATACAAACGAAATAAACAAGTAATCCAATTTAAACCAAACATTCCCTCATCAGTAACAGAAGGGATATTGTTTTAGTTCTGAGACACATAGATTAGAAATTGTAGATTTTAACTGTTTTTTAAGAAGAGAAATATGATTTTGGTATTTTAATTATTTGATAATATTTTATCTAGATGGTTAGGATTGAAAATTTTTAGGACTTATTACTGCATGTACAGTTAAGTCTAAAATTACAACATTACACTTAGTACTAGGTCATTAGGCCTAACATGCTGTTTTTTATATTAGTACTAGTACTATGTTTATAGAGTACTAATGTAAAGTTATTGAATATTAGTTTGAAAAAGGAATTATCCCAAGGGTTAAGTAAATAATAATAATTTATTTATCTTAAGAGTTGAAATTATTGTTGCTGTTGTTAAATGGCAGCTACTTAGAATTTGATATATTAGTAAATTATTTATATTAGCAATTAGTTACGTGTAGCAAAAAATGTAGTGTACATTGTAGCTGTGGTACTAGTAATGAACTGTATCAGTATTGATTGATAATTTAACTGGGCTCTGCAATTAACTCAATTAATGGATATAATCAATTACTTATGAGCATTGATTATATCAACCGGTGTCACATAAATAATTGGTTATTCAAAATTATGATTAAATTGATTGATGTTATGAAAATAATGAACTACTCAAAATTAGTGCTTCCCATTTTACTGTTTTTGATTATTTCAACTATCCAAGTGATTGAAATATTGCTATTATGATTAGTTAGTTCAGCATTGTATGCATACACGTGAATTTTTATGCATTGTCACCTAGCAACAAGTGGAATTTAGCTGTTTAATTTCAGCAGGGGTCAAAGGTTAATTTTTTTAACATGGTAGTTGACCATATTCTCATTAGTTTTCATTACACAATGAGAGTCATCCTTTATGTAAATAAGAATCCCAATTCTGGTCAATCACAAAATTTGAAGAAAAAGTGTGAATTCAGTATGATGTCATCCATTGTTCAACTGGAAATAAAGGTGGGGAAAGACAACTAGTGTGAACAAGTGTTATCTAATTATCCTTCTGTATTTGTTGGATGTTCCTTCATGAGTACAAATTACACAAAACAAAAGTGGCTGTTGTAATTTTTTGCCCCAAGATGTGAAGAAAACATACTGGTATAATGGTATATATGAGTATTTATGGGCAAGATGTTTTGGTAAGACATAATTACTTTCTTGTAAATATTTCTGTACCTTTTAAAAACTGTAAATAACCATTTTAGGTCCTTTATACAAACATTGTATTTTCTTACTTAAACCCCTGTGATATATGTCAAGATTGGATTATGTTTGAAAATTGTAGACTTGACTGTAACTTTCAAGAGGCTCAAAAAGATACAGTACACTTAAACATGCAGACCTTGATTACTTGAAGATAAGTTAGAGAGAGCATTTGGAAAAACTTTGCTATCAGAGGGTGAAAATAGTAAAGTAGGAGCAAAAATCAAGGAAGCAAGACAGGAAATGGATTGAATTAGGGTTAAGGTTAATTTGTGGGTGGTGGGTAGGAGAATACTGGGTTTACAAGTATGCACAGTGGTAAAAAAAAGTTTGAATATAGAGGCAGTTTCAGTTACCATTCTAATTGATTTGAATCTGCAACTGCTTGCAATAAAAAATGTGATGATAAAGAAGTTAACACATTGAGATACACTCACATCAAGTATACTAATAGTATAGGAGGACTAGGACTAGAAATTACTTACCAGGTGCTAAAGTACACAACATTATAGAGCATATTTATAGTTTAGTTGCTGGTACCAAGGAGCATGTTCTTTATTTTTAGTGCTTGTATGAGTGAATGATGCTGGAAGCTTTAAATCAAAAGAACTACTTAAAAAGTATAAAGAATGTCCTTCAGATATTATTTGATAGAAATTGATGTGTTGTCCTTTTGGGAGTACATTATTATGCTAGATGCCTGAGTGAATTACTTGGAAGGATCCAAAGCTTAAGTGAGAGATTATCAATATTTGGGCTGGTTGGACCTGTGGGATAGATTTAAGAGTAATATTGAATTATATACTAGAGATTGGCTCCACTTAAATATGCAATATAATAGGAGTTTTGGGAAGCTTTTAAAGGTATTCATTAAAGACAGTTTAAGCTTGCATATTTCTGAAGGAGCTTGGGAATTTAGGAATAAACAAATTGAAAGGACAACTGGGATGGTGTAGAGAATGTAAAAAGGAGATTTAGAGCACAACAAGTTAAGTAGTACTTTTAAAGATAAGTCTGTCAGATTTAAGGAAAAGCATAGTAGATTCAAGTATAGGCTTAGCTAGTATTATTCTAATGTTAGGATTACTAGGAGTACAATGGATAAGTTCAGGGCTTTAGATGAAATGATAGACTAGAATATAATGAAAATTACTGAAACTTGGTTAAATTTGGAGAACATTGATAATAGGAATTGTTTTGAAATTCCAGGTTATAAGTTATTTCATAGTTATAGTCATTTTGAAATAGGAGATGGGTGACTTTAAACATAATGGATAGTTTAACTGTTAGGACAAAAGGGGTGGTAGTTAAAAGGCTAACTCTATTATAGGGTTACAACTATGGATTTTGAGGGTAGAAAGTTTTAATTGGCAGTTGGCCATTTGATGAGATAGATGGTGTCAGTGAGAAATTTTATAATGAGATCAAGGCTGTTACTCTTGATAAAACTGGAGTAATAATTATGGGTACTTTAATTTAGGTACATTGATTGGGTATGTATAGTCAAATAGAGACATCCTGAAATGATTCCAGATGTGCTTCTGTAACATATAATCAGAAAGCCAATCAGAAGGGATGCTATTGTAGATTTATTATTAACCACTAATGAGGATATGGTTGCAAGAGTTGAAGTGAGTTAACATTAGAAGTAAGTTGTTTTTAACTCTGAATAGTCTGAATATAAGGTGATTTTCATGTTAAGAATAAAAATACTTTCTTTGATCTTACAGTTTTTATACTTCATTTATCTCTTGAACCTCCTAAATGAATATCACAAGTTTCTTTTCTGTAAAAATTTAAATTTAGTCTGTTATTTTTCTACCAGCCTTAACACTATACAGACTCAGTTGATTTGACCGACCTTTTAACCACCACAACAAAATACAAAATAATTTTAAATTACTGCTTTTTCTTTCTAGTATGACTGTAGATCATAACAGAAAATTAGTTATATATCCTAAACAGGCTGAAGTTTGTAACAGTTATACCTATTTTCATTTAATTTTATTGTTTTGTTGCTCTTTGAATTGTGGCTAACTACTAAACCTGCATAATAAAATGAGATATCACCTGGCAAGGGATTATTTCAAAATATTGAATTATGTAATGCACATGCAGCTTGCATGCATACTTTGCTGAGAAATATTTTATTTAATTTTCTTTTTAATTTGTATTTTCATATTTAACTTAATGTGTTTCTAATTTTTAATTTTTGTTGCTTTTATAACAATAAATATAGAATATAAAAAATATAGTACTTACATGTGGAAGTCTCGATAAACAATTAACATTAAACGTAGTTTTCGTAAAATTGTTGTTAATACTTTACCAAATTTTTATATAATTCAAATCTTCGTTTTAAAACACAATATAATTCACACAAAGAATACAGTGTCCTATAACTATTGTAATTTAACTGGCTTTCTAATTAAGCTATAAGTTCATTAAAATAATTCCCTTACTCGTTCGAGGTGAACTTGGTGATAGCAACTTTGAATCTATTGGCCAAGTAATTCAAAAGATGTCATCAGAATGAGTTAGTGTTATAAGTAATTCAGTAAATTTAAATCTTCTTTTTCTGTTGGTAATATATAATGTAATAGCAAACATCAGAGAAAATTATTGATAATTTGTGATGGGGTGTGGCATGTAGGTTTGAATTTCTGGTTTATATTTCTGTAAGTCTAGATGATTGGAGGCTACAAGATTTATTATGGCTCAGAAATATCTATACCATAACTGTAATTTGTTATTTAAACTCATAAGCTAAAATAGGGGTGGAAGGAATGTTTTAAGTGGGCAATTTGGAGCAAACAAGTCGCGTGTGATACATAAAAGTGGAGATTGAGAACTTATTTCAATATTTCCTTTTGAAATTAAGAAATTAAAACTTATACATACTTATATTAACTGTGTTGATGCCAGGTTTATTGACTTAAACTAATGATAAGCTTGTTTCATTAAATTTTGAATGTAATTCTATAAAATGTTGTGACATGCACACTTTAACATCCACCCATACACATAGGATTAAAAAGCTTAAAACATTAAAACCATAGCTAAAAAACAAAGTTCATCTTTGTTTGTGGCCACTTTGCAATCTTATTTTCAGTAATGAAGCTACATGTGTTTATGAGCATTGACACATAATAAGTTGCATTGATAAATGTGAAATAAGATTAGTGGAGTATAGACAAAGAAGATAGTAGAACTGTCAGTCACAATTTAAAATATGATATAACCATGTATGTATGATACAAGACATCTCACAATAATAATTTATATAGAATAATAGGCTGGTGGAAGAAAAAATTTTTTATATTAGTAAAGGTAATTTATGATAATTATTTTGTTTGTTAGAGTTCCAGAACAATTAACCAAACGTTTGATTTACCAGACATTGCAAGCTGTGAACTTCTGTCACCAGCACAACGTAAGTGTAACCAGTTTTGTTTTACTATCACTTTGGCTGTTCTCATCATTATTCTAATCATACTGGGAATTTCATCCACTGATTTAAAGCTGACAAATTCCACCGTAACTCAAAATTAGTTTATGAGGACCTTTCAAAATTAAGTTAGAAAGCTTTCTTTATCTGAAGAAAAACATAATAAAATGAATAAAGGACAAAATAAGAAGCTGATTTTATGAAGTACTATTTAATATTGTTTATAGTACACACATTTTCAAGTTCCTTCTGTATAGTAACATGTTATCAATTCCTAGAAAGAGGTTGACCTAATGGTTTTTAAAACTATAGGGCACAGGTTTACTATGGGTTATGAATGTATGATTCTCCCAAAATCTTCTTTTGATGGTTTATTGGAGTTCTCTAACATTGAGCCTAAGTTTGGAAGTTTTACAAACACTGATGTACTTGGATGATAAAAGAGATAATATGTGTAAGATTTCCAAAGAATATGAAAGTTAAATAGTTACTTCTAATTCTGTGATGATGTTTTTATATGAACCTTTTCTAATCTATTTTTATCTGTTATAGTGCATACATCGTGATGTTAAACCTGAAAATATTCTTTTAACAAAAGATGGCATAGTGAAGCTGTGTGACTTTGGCTTTGCAAGAACACTGAGTAAGAAAGTGAATAGTGTTACTTTGGTACCAAGTTGTTTGGTTATTGTTATGTATTAACAGTTGGTGTAATTGTCTCCGGGTCCTGATATACAACTAATGTAAACATTTCCAATCATTGCTAATAACTAAAAAAACACGAAAAACAGCATCCAATGAACAATTTTCAGGATACTGCAATATTTTAACAATACGAATATAGTTATATACAGTTGTAAGATTGTTTTTTTAAGTAAATATTTTAGCTTACACTAATATGATACATTGTAGTTACCACAGTAAATGTCCAATATTGTTTGAGTTTGTATGGAAAAAATAGCATAGACAAAAATTTTATTTAAGCACACTGTATCTTTAATGATGATGAGAAACCCACTTGAAGTAAAAATGTATAGTAGAGATAGTTGATATGGGTATTAAATACTTTAATTAAAATAAAGTACAAGAACAATGTTTAGACCTTCTTAGGAAGGTCAAAATGTTGTTCTTGTACTTTATTTTAATTAAAGTTTTTAATACCCATACCAGCCATCTCTGCTATACACTGTATCTTTATTTCAATATGGTAGAGACTTGATTTAATATTGCTTTGATTTGAGAGAGAAGGTATATGTTAACTTGTTTGTATTATGTTACATGTTTTTTCTGTATTTTCTTTGTTAATGTACTTGAATCACTAGCAATTTTGTAGTACAAATGGTTATGTGAAGTTAATTTTTGTAGCTTACAAAGATTTTGATTTTCTTTGCTTGTTTTGAGCCATGGGAAATTGCCTAAAATGGATAGTTGTGTTTAATATGCACATTTTTTTGTTTTACAAAACTCAATTCTAATATCTAAAATTAAGTTTTTTGTTCGTAGGCCCTGGTGAAAACTATACTGACTACGTAGCTACTCGGTGGTATCGAGCTCCAGAACTGCTTGTGGGAGACACGCAGTATGGGCCAGCTGTAGATGTGTGGGCCATTGGATGTGTTACAGCAGAGCTTATGAGAGGAGAGGCCTTGTGGCCTGGAAAGTCAGATGTGGACCAGCTTTATCTGATCAGGAAGACCTTAGGTACAAATAAGTAATGTTTAATTTTTCAATGCAACTGTTCTTGTAATAACTGAATGGAAAAATGTGAGCATAGTGCTAAAACTACTTATACAGTTACATGACCATCTTTGTATTGTTAGTTTGCAATGCTAGTTTATATACTGAATGACTTAAATATTATTGGTACTGTAGGTAAATTAAAGGGTGAATTAATAAAAGTACTTATCTGACAGTCTACGACAGGAAATTATGAGAATGATGTTCTATAATAAAATATTATAAGTTAGGTTAATATGAAAACAAATTTGAAATAATTGAAAAATTTATTGTCTTTTTACATTTTGTGTAAAAAGCAAAGTTCAAATCTCTGTCTTATGAAGTTTGAAATTACTATTTTAAAAAAAGAAATTGATCTTATCAGGGTTTTGGATATGTGCATAACACAGGAAGCACTTTTTTTTCTTTTTTTTTTACAAGGCATGAGGTTTATTCACCAGTGAACTAAATTATATTTTAATCTCAAAATATCAGCATTGTTTTGTAGGGAAAGTATCTTATTATAGACTTATTTACTGTATTATTGTGAGTGTCTTCTTTTTGAATTGTTAGATGAGGCAGTGTTAAAGAAATTTTCTTCACCATCAACAGTTTTACCTTAAAATCAGAGAAAGGTTATTTGGAAAAATAATGCAAGTTGTAGGAGTTTGAATCTTTATTTAGTTGACATTCATAAAACATTACTTTGATCTCTACTTTGAATGAACCTGGTATATATCTTAGATGAGTTACTAATACCAAGATTTTGCAATGTTAAATATATCTTTGATTTGTCAATAAATAAATTTGTTTGTAGGTGAAAAATATTAAAATTAATACATGTTGTGGCAGAATTGAAGACATTTTGAAAATACATTTGAGTTATTGTTTAGAATTTTGTTTGTTTTTACAGGAGATTTAATTCCAAGACACATGCAGATTTTCAGATCAAATGATTTTTTTGCTGGGGTAAACATACCAGAACCTGAAGTTAGGGTAAGTTTAGATAAGTTTCAGCTAATCAGTGTTATATCAAATATACAGTCTGAAATTACAAAGAAAGTGTTACAAGTGTTCTAGGAAAGAAATAATTAAGCCTAATAGCCTTCATTGTATAGCAAAAACATTGACCATTTAATTCTTTTCCCTGAGAACAATTTTTAATCATTTCTTTATAATTTCAGAATTTATCATACTGTAGCTTATTTGTGTCATTTACTTGTCTATGTGTTTGTGTCAATTTTGAAAGAAAGTATGGGACTTAGACTAAAAGAAACTTAAGTTGTAGTAGCTGAAGGTTGTGCAATGGACTTATATTTCTTGGATTAAAGTTCTATGAAAGGAAAGATTGTATGATAACTTGTAAATTTTGGATCAAGTCAGGCTTTCTTAATTTTTGCATATATTTTGAGGTATATTCAAAATCTGTATAAGAACATTTCAAACAGTTATTGAACATAATTTTCTGTTACTTAGGGGTAGTTTTCTTACAATTTGTTTGAAGCTAAAGATTAGTACATTACATATGAATTGTGGATATTTAGTGATAGAGTGTTTTGAAGTGACGGAACAATTAGGCAAATTTTTTTCAATGCATCCTTATTCTCCAGCACCTGATGCTTACATCTATAACACTCAGTGATAACAAAAGGTAATATTGAACTGCAAAGTAGTTTCTCAAGGCATTTCCTATAATGCCTCAAATGAGCAATATTTTACTCATCTTCTTAACAAGCAGAATTTGGGGATTTATTAGTAGTATAAAATTTGACTGGGACTTATAAGTATGATTGTAAGTATTAGAGATAGTAGAATTTGAAAGGAGTTTTATATCAATTTTCTTAATTACATTCAACTAAATTTAAAGTTTATTTTCAATAATCATTTGAATTATTTCATTTAGGGAGTTTAATTAGGAAATTTAATGTAAAAATCTGTCATCTTTTTCATCATGAAATCCCTGACTGAAATGGTTCAAATGAATTTTTTGAAAGGAAGCTTTGAATTTAATTAAATGTATTGTAAATAATTTTGAGCTCTCTATCAAACTCACTTTTACTTATTTCTAAAGAAAATGCAGAAGAGTTGTTGTACTAAGTTCTAAGATATCTTATTTACTTTGTTTTATTAAGTTAGCTCTGTATAAAATGAAAATATGAAACATCTTTAACTCTAAAATGGCCAGGTACATTGAAGCATTTGTTGTATGGTCTGTTTTATTGCATGGTAAAAAACTAATGGCTGAAATATTTTGAAACTTGAACTTTCTACACATAATAAAGCTTTTGCAAATAAGATATCTTATTTTTATGTGTGATATTTTTATGAATTCATCATTTTGAATATTAATAAATATTTCACTGTGGTATGTTTTTTTAAGAAACAATAAAATGTTTTCCTTTGTTATAGATTTCAATTAATGATTTTTATGTGTTCTTATATTCTTGTGAAAACTTTCCTATAAAATTTTTATTTTATAAAACTGTAAATTTTATCTTTCTTTTGATTAAAAAAAACATTGTATGCAGTTTCACCATATTTATGATTACTGGCACAATAAAAATTACTTTTTACCCCATCAAAATTATAAGGAATTTGACTTTATTTTTACGTTGAAATTGTTAATCAGACTTCATAATAAGAGTAAAACATTTTTAATCCATTTTTACATTAATTTTATTTTGATGATTTATTTTACCCATTGTATCAGTTAAGTCCTAATGTAAATATGGCCTAGCAAACAACAACCTTGTTGGTGAAACAAAACTTAATACGGTCAAGTGCAAAAAGATCTATGTATGCCTACCTTATCTCTTTCAGTAAAGAAATTACCTTTCCTGTCATACTGCAACATCATAATTTAAATGAAATATTAAATGACAAAGAAAGCTTTTTTACGAGCTTTAAGAAAAACATCAGGACTGTAATTGTGGCAGAAGTACTTCACAAACTTCTTTTCTTCTATCATCATATCACTAAGTTAAGCTTTTATTAATTTGTTCTGATCTCTGTGTGAATCTTTGCTGAACTGGAAGTCCTATTGGCTTACATAGAATTTTCATAACATGCTTAGATTACTAGCTTATGGCTTCTCAAAGCTGGGAAATAGACAAATAAATCACAATATGCAACTGAGATTAACAAACAGTGATTGGCTAAACTAATAAAAAGACAGTTGCATTGAAGTTACAAGATTTAACTTAGTGCTATTTTGTTAAAAACTATTTCAGTTTTCTTCTTAAGGGGTTATGAATGATGTATTATGCTCAGAAAAAACAGTTTGGGAAATACACTAGCATATTCAGAGCACACTAAAATCAACCCAAAATCAATTTGTGTTTATTAAAGTCTTTATATAAAATCTTTATTGACTAAATGTCAGTCTAAAGTATTTGAAAACATGTGTGGAGGAATGACTACAAATTTATGTTTTTCTGTAATGTTTTTAATTTAGTGGTTCAATTTTTCTCTTGGGACAGGATGCACCAATTAGGGACACTATAAAGTTAAACATTCAGAACAAAGATTGTGAGGATATTGTCTTCTAAACCTCTGTACCTTAATTACAAATTTATCTAAATGATAAGAAAGAGAAAATCTATTAAGAAGAAAATTCTCAGTGATGAACTTCTTTTGTCTTTAGGAAAGCCTAGATCACAAGCTCCCAAAAAGCATTGATGACAGTGGTTTTGATTTTGTAAAGGTAGGAATTATTAATATTTCTGTTTTTGAAAGTGACTTCCCATACTCATCAGTAGTAGTATTCCATTTAAAGATCTGAAGGATTATCTTTTCAAACAACTCAAAGCCCTAGCTAACACAATATTTTATCATCTCTGTTTTTAAGCTTGCTTTTATATCTTGTTGTTGTTTTCTTCAATATTTTCTAGACCAAATCAATCTGAAAATTACTGGTCCAAACCAAGTAATAACTACATCATTATAAACTGTATGATTAAGAATAAAAGCCAAACTTGCACACCATCATTACAAATCAATTAGTGAATGTAATAGTACAGAAAAATACTTAACAGTGTCATTGCAAGGATTTTAAATCAAATAATATTTCCCCAAGGATTTTGAAGGAGGTTAAGGATTGAATATGTGAGCCTCTTGCTAATATTTTTTGTACATCCTTGAATAGTGTACAGGTGCCAAAGGATTAGAAGTTGGCTAATGTTACTCCTGTTTTCAAGAGAGGTGATAAACATTGTCCCATTAGTTATCATAATTATCAGTTGTGGGAAAAGTTTTTGAAAGCCTGATAAAAACATGCTTTGCAAAGTCATTTAATAAAGTTTAGAATTTTATTGGATAGTCAACATGGTTTCATTAAGGGAAAATCTTTTGACATTCTTTGAAAAGGTTAGTGCTTATGCAAATGAGGGTAAGGGTGTAGATTTGGTGTATTTAAATTTTCAGAAAGCATTTGACAAGGTGTCACATAAAAGTCTTGTAAAAAAACTTCTCTCTATAGGTGTGGGGATAAGTTAGCTAATTGGATAGAAGAGTCACTGGATAGAAGAAAGTTATAAATGGAGTTCAGTCAAACTGGATTAATGTCACACGTGGGGTACCTCGGGACAGTCTTAGAACCTTTGCTCTTTTTGATTTACATAGATGATGGAATGTTCAATAAATTACTTAAATTTGCTGATGATATTAAGGTCTTGGGTATTGGTGGCTGTGAGGAGGATGGTGCTGCTTTACAAAAGGATTTAGATCATTTAGTGAGTTGGGCAAATAAATGGTAGATGGGTTTTAATTATAATAACTGAAAGATAATGCATGTGGGTTATCATGATTTGAAATATAAGTATAATTTGGATGGAAATAACCTTAATAGTGTTATGAAAGAAAGGGATCTTGGTGTAGTGATTGATCAGTCTCTAAAGCCATTCAAGCAGTGTGCTGTTGCTAATGATAGGAAAAATAGGATTTTAGTTTGTATCTACAGAAATATTAAATACAAATCTAAAGAGGTTATAATTTTATTGTACTGTTCACTGGTTAGGCCACATTTGGAGTATTGTATTGAGTCTTTGGTTCCTTACCTTAGGAAGGACATTGAATATACATTTTGGCAGGGTAGGAGTCATTTTAAACTAAGACAGTTTTATTTTTCTAAAAGGGTGGTTGGCCTTTGGATGTTGTGGAAACTGTAAATTTAAATGAGTTTAAGAGAAAGCTTGATAAATATATAAATGATAAGGACTGGCTTTGAGGTTTTATTTAATTTTTTCATTTAATAGTTTTAGTTTAGTTTAGAGGATGGGACAACCTAGATGGATCAATAGGTCTCTTATTGTCCCTAAACATTATGTTATGTTATGTAATATTGATAGCGTGTTATATTTTTAATAATTGCTGATTTAAAATTTGTCAGGAGGAGGATATGAGAATGTGTGTATGTTTAGTGATGCTGTTGACTGCATGGTAGAACTAACTCACTTTAAGTCACTAATTTGGCCTTGCATTTTGGATCTAATTATAATACAGTGCTTAAAAGAGATCTATTAAATTATATTTTACAAACATACTCCTATAATTACACTCTGATCACAGTGTATTTTCCTTAGATTTAATTCCATAGTTTAAAAAATCACAAAGTCTCTGTCAGTTTTAATATAGGCTACTTATCCAACTAAAAGAACATGTCAAAACAAAATCAACTTCTAAAGTATTTTGAGTGTATGATTATATTATTTTTCCAACAGAAACATATTTATGTTCATTATTTTATTTATTCCCAAGACATCAGCTTCACAAATAGAATGAAATGAGTATAAAAAGTAATGATATTCCTTATATTTTAATAATTTCATACTAATTCTGAATCCTACTGTATCAAATGTGTAATTTGCTTTTTCACAAACCATGGAGATAGAATTGCAAGAAACTTGCTAGCAAGATACATTGTCTATATATATACTAGAATGTGTATTTGGTATTAATATGTAGCATTTGAAGGTAAATTTATGTTCTTATCTAGAAATGCGTGGACAAAGATCCCCAGAAAAGGTTTACTTGTGAACAACTACTCAAGCATCCTTATTTAGGTCAAGTTAAAATCTCAGAATTTGAAACAGAAGACAATCAGATAAGACAGAAGAGAGAAAAATCTAAGGTATTTATGTTTAGCTTTTTTAACATTTAAGTTTATTGTGAATATGGATAGAAAGATTATGTATGAATATTATATATTAGTCTTTCTTAGATTTTAGTTGAAGTAATTACTAGTGGAAAAGTTGAAATAACTTGTAGGTGAGCTATAAAACTGAATGTGTTTAATTGAAACAAGAGGGAATCCTCAATAGCTGCAGCACTTGAAATTATTTCAGCAGGATAAGAGTAAATTAATATATGAGACCCTTTTTTTTTGATAGCTATATTTTTATGTACCAGCAATACCAAGCATGGGGTGCACATATACCTGATTTGATTTGATTGCTCATTAAGATCTCTACCAGCCCACCCTCAAATTGAAATTCTTTTAGGCAGGGTTAGAGTAAATTAATTTATGAGACCTTGCCCATCAAATAATCAGTCAAACGGGTTTGACCTCCTGAGTCTAAAACTGTAATTAGATCTGAAATCGGTCAAGAGATGGTGGAGCTACAAGTTAAAAGTTCATACTTGAAAAACTCGGAGCCATTCTATGAGCTGCTATTTTGTGGCTAAAAATTAGTAAAGTTCAGAACATGGTAAGAAGAACCTTGGGTTTATTAACATGATTTTTTCTAGTTTATACTAAATGTTTAAAACTTTCAGAATAATTAGTACCTTTTCTACAGATTTAAGGTTTGATTATTATGACTAGTGAGTTCCTTTCAAGTGTCAAGTGAATACCTACTTGCCAAATTTCAAGTAAAAGTAAAAATTCACACCATTATCAGAACTTATGTGGTAAATCCACAAACAGACTAATGGTTATCTTCATGGAAATTTACAGATGGGTATAGAAATTAACATTTATTATTAATGATATATAGTTAACTTTTATGGGTTGTGAAACACAATTTGCTCTATTTTTAGAAAAGGATCTTTTAAAACCTATTTATTAAGTGGCTCACTGGGAAACCTGATCATGGAATCTACTAGAAAGTTTAGAAAACTTAGGAACAAACTTCAGATCTGGGATTTTTTTTATAGTTTCTTTAGATGTTCATGTATTTCCTGAAAATGTTCTCTTGTTAAATTACATTTGTTTAAAAGCTACAGATGTTTTTTCTTAAGGTAAGACATCAGTTAAGCTTAGTTAGGTTTAGTGAGTATAATAAGTAACATTAAAATATTTTGATGACTCAAATCCCTATTTATTGAATATTATTGTTAAGTTTATCATATAGAAACAATTCAAATAAATAAAATAACTTATTATTTATTTAAAATAAATTATATTTGTTTAATATAAATTGATCTTAACCAAGAATATTGTTAGCAACAATATTGTTACCTAGCCTGATCTGATGCCTTTTTGAAAGGACAGGTCACTAATAATTCTTTGTCAGTTTGTGAGATGTATCTTAGCAATTTAAAATCAACTGATTGAGTATATAAAATAGAATTTTCTGATCAAGATTTTTTTAAATTTGAAATTCTAAAACAAAAGTAAGTATTTTGGATATTTTTTGGAAATTTCACAACATGAAAAAATGATAGGAAAACTAAATCAAATTATGTGAATTTTTTATCTGAAACTAGGTACTGTTTAGTAAACTAAATTTCTTGCAGTTTGTTAAGTATTTCCACTTTAAGAAAAAAAAACTGTGAATGACACACCCTCCAGTCAGGAAGAAATGAATTTGCTCAGTTTGTTTTCAAGTGATTCCTTAATGGATCTTTATAAACAAAACCCATTTTTACCTGACAATTGTTTCATACTTTCTGTTCCATAGTACCGACCCCCAGTGGCATAGCGGTATGTCTGCGGACTTACAACGCTAGAACCCGGGTTGTGATACCCGTGGTGGGCAGAGCATAGATAGCCCATTATGTAGCTTTGTGCTTAATTACAAACAATCCATAGTACCATTTATTTATAAAACCTGCTGTGGTCTACTGCAGTTATCACAATTTTTGTACTTATTATTTAGCATCTAATCAAACAAAATATAAAACCATTAATAGAGTTACTTGTAATTTATCTGGAACCAGCAGTGGTTTATTTCAAGAATATCAGCATTTCAGTTATAACACTAGTTTTTACCTAACAGCAAAATCTAGTTATTAGATGTTCCCATCTTTTACTAGTTTATTAATAAAGCTGTTTAACAGCATTTTTCTTTTTTAGAATGGTCAGCATCAGACATTATTACCACAGTTGCCTGGAGCCACCACTCCAGAGTCTAAAGGAAGTAACACCAACTCAAACAATCGCAGATTTTACCACTTACCAAACATCTGACGAGTTGGTCAAGGGAGCAATCATGAGCAGCGAAGTAAAGTTTCCCTTCCTACTTGGTTCAACAAATAGGATGGCAGGATGAGGGGGGAGAATTATATCTGTATATAACTGTTTGATTTTCAAATGCAACCTGATTAAGTCTTTGAGACTGTATAATATTTGATCCACAGATTGTGTTAGTAAACTTTAGAATTGTCATAAACCACCAAAATCTGTAGAATACATTTGATCACATCAACATAAATTAAGTTCAGTTTGAGTGCCATATATCGCAGCATATAAGTCGACCCCCCTATCAAAAATTCCTGTAATTTTCTGATCACCACCATATAAGCCTACCCCAAAAATTATACAGAAAGTCTATACATTATACATATATTTCTAAAGACAGATGAATATTTAAGAGGAAGGATCATATACAATTTATTCAACAGTATTGACAACAAAATTTAAGATCCATCAAAGTCCTCATCTTTAGAATCTGAGTTGCCAAAAAGTTCATTGAATTCACTTTGCTTTATCTGATCTTCATAGACATCACACTCCTTCATGGGATCATTGTTGGGCAGACATCATTTTCTGTCATAAGACCAAGTTGTGTCATTTCATAAAATGCCTACACCAACCTCAATGAGCAGTTAAGTCAGAAATATTTCTATTCTTGGCCCATTCCTTGGATCATAGCATAATCTGATTTCTTGTTACAATCAGACCAGACTTGTGGTTTTTGTCAACTCATTTCACATTGTCTGTTTCCAGTTCAGGCCAGAAACCATTTTTCATCCTTGAGCAGCAAGCTTTGTTCCTGACAGACTTTGAATTTTCACTATCTTTTTGCCAAATTTCCTACTCACAGCACAGTTTGTCTTTTCAGCAAATTTCACAATTTTAATTTTGGTTTGTATCTCATACATTTTGGAGGCATTTTGTTTAATATATCACCAAAATAACAACTAGTATGCATATTATGATCTTTGTAAAGTCATTTCCTAGAATTTTAAAATGAAAGCTCTGCTTGAAGAGTATTGTTTGGTGTGTCTAAATAGATCGATTCACTTGATATCAAGGCTCCGCTGATGTTTGAGAATTTTCCTACTTTTTTGTACCCATTTTATGAGTCGAGTCCCCTTTCTTTGGATAACATTCTGTTATTAAAAAAATCGACTTATATGCTGTGATATATGGTATATTAACAGTTCAGCAAGCATGCTGAATGCCTCTTTATGTTTTTTTTTAATTTAAAGATGAGTTTTATTGAAAAAGGAACTGAAGATAATAAAAATAAAATCTTAGTTTCTATTTAAAATTTAGTGTTTTTGATAATAAACCTTACAACTAAATGGTAAGTAGAACTCTGTTAGTATATGGTGAGGATATCCAAGCTGTTGACATACTATGTTCTGGAAGATTTATATCCTCTAATTGTTTGGCATTATATTCATATTTCAGTTTTATTTCAACTTGGAGATGTCTTGTAGAGTAAACTGTAGAAACTAGCTGAGATTTAAATTTCTCTGGATTCTTTGATAAGTCTAAACTTAAGCATTTGTATTTTTGGTTTCATCTTTGTGCTGTTGAACTCATTTGTAGAAGTCGAATAACTTATTTCACTAATTAGTTATATATGTTTCCCCCCCTTTTCAAAGAGATTATTTTTCATTTGATATTTCAGGAAAATTGCTTGTTTCTGTTGTTAATGACATTCAAAGATTTCTTTCACAGTATAACAAACCATGAATATAGATATGCTTTATTCAGCACAGATTGATCCACAGTCCAGGGTCACATAGGAAAACCAAAGCTAGAAATACAATTTGAAGTCTGTTTATTAGGCAAACTTTTATTCTCTGGTGGCTCGAGAAACATTGCCATTGGTATTAGGTTACTTCAGCACTTTCTGGAATTTCATCCCTCTTTCCAAAGTGCTATTACCAGTAGAGCTAAATTTTAATCCATTAATTACCATTATACCAGCACTACTCAATCACCACCATACCAAAAAATATGTTTTGTGAAAAACAACTTATCTCATTATATGAAAACAAATTCTTATGCTGATGTTTATTTAGGTGACAAGTTTTGATGACTTTTCCTTGAAAAAAAATTGCATTATGGTAATGGGCATTATTGATTAACTTTTCAAAAGTTATACTACTTTTCATGGTCAAAAATTGTAAACTGTATTCTTAATCTGAATGATTTCATTACACAACTTTATTTAGTAATAGTAAAAGTACGTACTTTTTTAAAATAAAGAATCCAGTTTTGTCACTGGATGATTAATTCCCATTTAAAATTTTTTATACTGGTTAAATAACCTTTCTTTTAGAAGAAATACAAAGTTTATAGTGATAAAATTCAAGATTCAAGTTAAAAAAGTTTTTTGCCTGTGGTATGATTAGTGTAATAATACATACTTATAACAGATGATTTTAAAGTACACATTATAAAAAGAATGCTATTGTAAAGAAAAATAATAACATCAGTTTTAGAAATAATTTCCTGTCAGCACTACATTTTATGTGCTCAGTTGTTTACTATAAAAAGTGGATAAGAATTTTAAAATGTTAGTACAAAATGAAAAAAAAGACTGCAAAACAGATAAAAGTATTCATTTGTGGAATTATAAGAGATGTTTAAAAATTTCCTGCCTTTTTTTGGGATCACTGACCATTACAAGGTAAGCATCAGGTGCTGGAAAATGAAGGCAATGAAAACATTTTCAGATTGTTCATTTGCTTCAGTAAGCTTGCTCCCATGGCTATAATATTCTTGGGCAGTTTATCAATATCACAAATAATCATATATTGTGCACTGTGATATCACAGGTACTATCTGAATCTGCATTTTTCACGAATATGGTAACAATCTTCATCTGTCTCTGTCTATTTAATTAATTCTATAGAAAGTTTTGAATGGTATCTAAAACAGGCCCATTCTAGTCACATTACAATATTCTGACAAAGAGTACCTCACCTTTGAGAGTTCATTATTTTATCATAAATGTGCTAAATGTTGTAATGTTTAACTTTTTTGAAAACTATTATGCATTACTTTTTTCTTTTGCAAACAACTTTATGAAAAAGAAATTGGGAGTTTATTCCCAAACAGTAAATTACCTATGAAAAACATGATTACATCATAGCATAATGAGAGAAATACATTATTCTGGTTTCTCCAGCCTGCCCCACTGCTGTCAACTTTCACTTTGTTGTGCCTATAAGTGTAGAGAAGAAAGCTCCTGGTGACCATAAGATAATGATCAAATATGAATGCTTTTAAGTGAGTTGTTTGTGATATATATATTTGAATTAAAGATAAAGATGTGTGTATTTTTGTATGTGCACACATTATGTGTGAACATAGTAGTTTTCTTAGATTTCATGTTGCTTTTATCAAGGAAACCTTGTATATATATGTTGTTCATAAATACATGATATCTTTTAGTGTACTCTAACAGTTATTTGATTTATGTTTATTTCCCTAAAGATTAATCTGTTTGTAAAATTATAAATACAGGAAAACTATTGGTGAGTATTGTTAGTACCATTCACGTTGTGTAATTCGATTTTAGAGCAAATTCAGTGATAGTTACATTGTCTCTTGTTTTATTGAACACAAAATCTTCAGAAAAACATTACTCATTGTAAGATGTATCCTTTATTAAGTATTTTACAAAACCAACTTACGTTAAAAGTAATTCTTAGTTTGTTGAAAGTTACTTGTCTGAGATGTAAGAAAATACTAGTGTGCTATTAGTACCTTGTTTCTCTTGTACTTGAATCATGTAATTTAATTTCTAGAAATACCAGGAAATGTGGTATTCAAGTTTGTCTCACTTGGTGAACACTTGTTTATTGTTACTGGTAGCTCGATTTTTCATGAAAATTTATATTTTAAATATGTGGAAACAATCATATAATCCTATTAAGCATTATTTTTCTTTGAAATATTTACAAATTTGTTTACTTCATCATCTGGTTTTCTTTTCCCCTGTGCATAAGATAATGACATAATTTGAAGAATATATAAGTATATTTGTACCATCAAATACAGCCTTAAGATTTGAAAATTTTAAGAAAATATAATAAAACAAAATGTTTTGACATATAGTAATCTCCAGTTATAAGCAGTCCTGAAAACGAAGTCAACTCAACAGTCAAACCTCCCCATGAGTCCTGCTTTATTTTTATAAGTGTATGTAGGTTAGGTCAAAATGATGAGTTAATACTATCGTTTACTTCTTTATTTAAATTTATTACAGTAATGACAGATATTGGAGAAATTTCTATGCTAATCCAGACATTTTTGTGAAAGTTTAATATTCTGACAATTTTCTTATTCTATTCTTTAACTTCTTTGTGTAATTCAAAACCACTAAGTGTATAGCTCTTCACATAAGTTATCTTTGTCAGTTATTGAATGAAACCATTTATTTTTTTACTCCCTCCCAGGTGGTTTAACGGAAAGCTAGAGAGGTTATAACACTAATATCCGGAGTTTGATCACTGCATTGGGCACAGCATAGATAGCACATTGTGCAGTTTTAGGCTTAATAAAAAAACGTTTTCTTCAAACAATACTGGTTGCATTATCAAGCTCAGTTTACTGTGATAATAAATGCTGTGGTAAATTTGTCGATTTGTATAATTTTTATTACAACTTACTTGCTTTCCAAGACAGACTTTTAGTACGAAAATTTTGTGGTAACAGGACTGCCATCGATAGGAAAAAAACTTGTTTCCATCTTGCTTCAGCTCTTTTTATCATTTATAATATTTTTTAAAAGGAGAAATATAGTGTATATTTCTTGTTCAACAGAAGCACTTCACTGTAATGATGATGTTATTTAAAAACGACAAAAACAATTTGGGTGTAACACTTGCTTATATAAACTAGTGTGAGCGCACGTTGGAAATATATTGTTGTGGATTATTTTGAGTGTCTTAAAGTTGTATCACCCGAAAATAATAAAATATTTAAAATTAAGAATTTATGGATCCAATTATTGCTAACATGGAAAAGACATGACATGGCGCTCGACACGCAATCTGCGTCACCAAGCACGCTAGCCCTTTCAGCCGTGGGGGCATTATAATGTCACGGTTAAACCCACTTTCTGTTGGTAAAAGAGTATCCCAAGAGTTGGCGGTGAGTGATGTTGAGTTGCTACCTTCCTTCTAGTGTGTCATTTCAAAATTAGGGACAGCTAGCTTTGTGCAAAATTCTACAAACAAAATCTAACGTTGAAATACATCGAATATTTAGGTTATCAGATTTAACTTGTTTCTGTAACAGTAATGTACTAATTGGTTTGTTTGGAATTTCGCGCAAAAATAAAACTTTTTTGGAGTTTAAAAACTTCCGGATCGTAAAAGATATAGTAACCTTTGTATATGATTAACATAATTGTATATTTGATTTATTCTTTTGAATGGTTGAACGCCATTTCATTTTGTACTTTTTAACAGATTAGTGTGTAATCTAGATTATAATTTCCAAAATAATTGAATACGCTAGTGAGTCAGTGGAAAGATTGCGAACTTATAACGCTAAAGTCAGTAACGAATGACGTGATCAAAATTAGTATAACTACTTTTGTGTTATGTTACATATGTTTTGTAGTTTAATCACTAATTAACTGTAGCCCATATACTAAGAATCTTTTTTTACTACTTATAAGTGTTAGTTTTATTGAATGTTGAATTTTCTAAACTAACCTGTTTCTGTTATAGGAATGAAAAACGGAGTTTGTTTGTTTGTTCGTTTTTATAGCAAAACCACATTGGGCTATCTGCTGTGTCCACAGTGGTGAATCTAACCATGGATTTTAGAGTTGCAATTCGGGAAGGAGAACCATTGAAATCTGGTACACTCCAACTGCCAAATGATTTTTCTACCTTGGGGTCAATCTCAGTGGAAAGGAGATAACGTGGTCTGGTGAGCCTGAGACTGAATGGGGCAGTCTTTACAAGAACCTGTACCCATCACCAACCAGGGTATCTCAACACTGATAGGTCTAGGCTGCCAGAGACCAGCCAAAAGAGGCTGGAGGTGCTACTGGTGTATGACAGCTGTCAGCCTAGCCAGTTTAATGGGTAGGAGAGCCAGTGGCTATCATTGTGTGAAGATGACAATCTATGTGGCAGTTGTGAACCTCTTTACATGATGAGAAGTATAGTGCCACTATGACCATGGATCTTAGAAACACATAGGGTAATGTAGAGCGTAATGGATAAGTATCACAAACATTCATTTTTCTGTGGCTTAGAGACAGGAATTTAACATTTGTCTGAACATACTGGTCCCTAAGAACACCTGCTATTATGTACTCCTGAGGTTTAGGTCGTCTCAGCTTGGTGTTGAAAGAAACAGCTTCTACCATCACAGTGAGTGTGGTTAGTCAAATTTCTTCTCTTATGTCTAAGGAAGCAGCCATTTTTGAAGTGTTTAAAGTAGGTAACTGTTTGGAATGCCAGACTTGGAAGCAGATGATGTAATGCTTGATCTTTAGTTTAGGTAGCCTGGTACTTGACTCAATCAAGCACATGAATGATAGAAAACTTTGTAACTAGAATATATTTTGAACTGGTTGAGTTCAAGGTACAATAGAGAAGTCCCATAAAGAGCTTGGCTACTTACACAGGTGATCTGTAACATTACAAAAGAAGGAATATCTCGCAATTGAATAATCAGGTCATAAGGTTATCCCTGTAGACAAGATTATCAAAGGACTACCAAGCAAGATGACGTGACATCACCTCAGTATGAGAAACATTCTCACCCTGATTGAGGCAGTGCCTGTGGCTACTAGGTTAGGGACTGTAACTTCAAACAGGTTGCAAGAGATGAAGAAGCCTGTAGCAATAGATTCGGTGTCTGTGTCTCATTAAAATTGCCTTTCTGTAGTGCCTGCTTTGCACTAAGCTCTTGATTCATTGAGGGTGGATCAACCACTGATACGTCCTGACGCAGTAAAGCCCATGAAATATCAATGAGAGGACAAACTTTCCTGGCCTCCCATGATGTTGTGCCACATCAAATACCATTGATGCCTCAACCCAGATGCCACTCTGGAAAGAGAACCAAAGCATATGATTTGGTTGTAGGCTGATGGGTCACTTCAGAATGAACTGCTCATACCTTGCTCCACAAAAAAACATTCAAAAGTACCTTTTTTCTGCCCAACTGCTCAGCCTATGTAGGAGGGTCGTCAATAGGCCTGACG